TATATATATATATATATATATATATATATATATATATATATATATATATATATATATATATATATATATATATATATATATAACAGTTAACCGTTATATATAAAAAAATCTAAGGTTCGGTAGGTAGGGATTATTCTTTTTTTAATCCAAGTCATAACGCTGTTACAATCCAGTTTTATGATTTAGTAAAACTTGCATGAGGACACTTATGTTGGTAAACTGGTTGTCTAGTACAATGTTTCATTTCTCAGGTATCAGATTATCAAGCTACAAAAGGTATATCAGCTCTAAGAAAGTAATTTAAATTATGTACTTGCTGGGATTCATTAAAAATGACTACTAGTATGGTCAGCAGGTGTTTCTAGGGTTGGTAGGGAAACAGGAAACACAACATTTTTTCCTTTTTTTTCACAGTTTCCCAATTTCTTCCTAATCATTTTCTGCTTTACTGTTGCCTATGGTACCTATTTTTACGTTTGCCGGCCCAAAGCCGAGGTGAAAGGGAAGAATGGTTCAATCAATTGTTCAACAGACTACAGACCATGTCATACTGCCATATGGCATACACTTGCTGTTATTCCTACAGTCCTTTGACAGTCTTATATGCTTGAATCGCAAAAAAACTGTCCTGCAATAAGATAAATAGCTAACACAGCAATAAGTCTGACAAAGGTATTCATTTGCAATATGATTTCACGATAAAATGTCGCTCGTGCGAGTCATAAACTGGCAAAAAAACAGGCACTTTTCATCTGTACATGAATGTTTTGTTAATGAGCCTGCAAGTTACACTCGTAATGCATAGGGTAATGGACACCTTTTGTTTTATAAAGCTCCACAGGTAACAGGGCGTTAAAGATGTTGGTAAGGCACAGATGGCCACAGTCTTCAGCTGACTGACTCCGGTTTTCTTTTAGATGAACAGATTAGGCCACACCAATTTAATTTCTTGGTTAACGGATTTTCCTAGAAAAATAATGGAGCAGGCGGGCAAAAAAAAAAAAAAAAAAAAAACAGGCCAAGGCATCCTTTTATGGCCCCAAATGGTACGATATTATAATAAAGAGCCATGAAGTCAACACACCAGGCTTGTTCAAAATTTAAACAATGAATTTTGAACTTCTAATGATACCATTGCATCGAAAGATGGAATATCTGTATCAAGTAGGATGAAAAGGACCATTTTCAACTGTTCTGGGCAAAATATGAGCATTTTGCAGTTGATTTTGAATTTTTATTTTTATTTGCAAATCAGAAAAAAATTAAGCGGGCGAATCCGTTAACCATGAAATTAAATTGGTGTGGCCTTAGGGTAATGTATGTTACCCAGCCTAATTTTGTGATAGACGTAGACTCTGGGAAGAAAACCACTCACCACTAACCTGAGACCTCTGCTTACATTGGAGAAAAGCGTTCTAGAATTTCTAAGGACTAGCTTCTATCCGAGCTTACTTACTGTTATCAAGGTATCACCGTATCACTATAACGTTATGTTGACTGAAGTGTCATTGAGGATAACCTTCTCTTTTATACTAGGGCTTGGAATGTTTGCTATTTAAACATTTTTATGTATTCTTTTGTTAATGCAGGCCACTGTACCTCTACACCCCGACTCATAGGGGCTGGAGATACAGTGTGGAGCCCCTGGAGGCTATTGATGGCGAGAGGATTTGGAATCCTAATAATTCTTCGACAGTGTACATCGGTAAGAAGACTAAAGACTTTTTCATTAGCCTTATTAAGAATGACAACTTTGATGACATTGACTCTTAAATTACCTCCATATTTTTATCTCCAGCTACAGTGTCGCAGAACCACAGCATCCCCAGCAATCCCAGACGCCAGAACACGGAAAGGTCTTCCAACCCAAGGGGACAAGGGATCGACGAGAACCCTGGTGGCACTGACTCCACCAACCCCCGGGGCCAGGGACAACGGATGGACCAGCAGAACCCGGGCGGCGCTAACTCCACCAACCCCCGGGGACAGGGACAACGGATGGACCAGCAGAACGCTGGCGGCGCTAACTCCCCCAACCCCCGGGGACAACACGAGAACCGTGGACTAGACAGTGCAAGACTGTCAGTATTTGACATTTCGGATGATGAGATGTGAGTCACTTAATTGTTTCCCTTTTCTTATCTCCAACAAAGACTCTCATACTAGTTGTAGCAAAAGTTTGGTTTGAATTTTAGTTTGAATGTTGTGGAGAGTTTCTGATGTGTAAATCATTGAAAATAACCTTTGTAACCTATAAAATTATAGGGTAGCCTTGCTTTGTTTTGACTGTCCAATTATCGTAAGAGTGAAGGCATCTTGTTTTTACCACACTTTAGACTGAAAGGCAAATAGTTTTTGTTATCAGGTTTTCTGTTGAATTATTGATATTCTATATATATATATAAAAAAGCTGAAATAATTGTCAATATATAGGCCACCTGTGCCTTGTGACAATGGTAATCCCAAGTAGCTTTAAGTAACAATTTCATAGTTATAAGCATTCATAACAACTTTTAGTCTTTTTGACAATATGCAACAATTATTTTCTTCACAGTATGGATGTTGAGGAATATGTACCGATCAACCCTGCACGCGCAAATGCTAATGGTGAGTCATGTGACAATTCGTCATCCAATTGAAAGTTCATGAAATTTTTAAATGCTGCATTCAAATACATCTATGTGATGGACATGTAGCATAAAACATTATCTGATGCTTTCTTCCTCTTGACTTCATTAATTTACAGATATTCAGGTTGTGATAACAACTCCAGGCATCGATGTTGGGGAAGGTAAGCTTATAATATTTTATATACTAGAAAGGCCGACATTTGCTTGGGAGCAAATGCAGCAGATGGCTTCACTACATCCCCAGTACCAAAAATGGATCTATTCCCCTCCCGCACAAATGGACTGTTCTCCCCTCCTGCACAAATCACCCCTGTCCAAAATAAGAAGTATTTTGTAATTGCCATATATATAATTAAGCTGTTGTACTCATGCATGTAGGTGTGACAAAATCGCATTCCTGTGAAAGTGACATTGAATCACCAACATTGTGTCTTGAATGTTACATGCCATGAATGAATGATTGAATTCTATTGCCCAAAACTAAGGGGAGTGGTTTCTGTCTTTTGTCAGATGGTTCTCTCTACCTCAACGAAAACTTTGGAGAATTGTTTGGAGGACCATATGGTAAGGCATATTTGCTTTCTATGAAATTTTAGATGCTTAACTTATCTTGCAAAGATGTGTTTGTCCACAAGAAGACACTGGCATGTTTTGCTTTTCATAACAGGAACCATTTAACACTATTTTGAATATGGTTTTACATGGTATTTTTCTTTGTGGGGACAGGGGTAAGACAGCTTAAAGTCATTTGTTTAATTTTTTATCATTTAACTTTCATTAACTTGCTTGCAGATCCCTTCACCGGACACCTGTATAATACAGTCACATTTGCTGATGAACTTGGTGGAGGGACTCAGATATTGAACCTGCCAATCCTGACCATCGAGTTTGAACTGGTATGATGACCTCTGAATACCTTCCTTAAGTTTTGTAATGGGCTTTGGTATCCTGGTATGGGGGGGGGGATAGATGCCATACTTACTCATGATTGCTTCATTCCTCACTAGATGTAGTAACCGCAGTATATTCTTTGTTTAATTGCATGTTCATGCCCATGGGGCGTACATCAGTGTGTGATGTTACATGTACATCATACTAAGTAACATGATACATACATGTAGGATACAAGAATAACAGAATGACATAAAAGTCTTAACAACTACTAGAGAACCTTCTATCTAATCTAGGCCTTGAAGATTTCTTCTCTCTTTTTAAAGCAAGATAAATTCACAGAATTTTTCTATTGTGTTGTCATTACTGGTGGACATCAGTACATGACCCTTTCTTTGTTCTACCTTTATACAGTTTGTCTAAGTGGATTGGTCTAAATAGTGTGTCATGTTCGACACACTAGAATGCATTTCATCTTCTATGCTATCGGAGTTGCAAACCTTACAGTCTATATCCTGTATTAACTCCAGATCCTTCAGGCAGCCCCTGCCTTCCCATCCTTGATTGAATGTGTTTATTCCAAACAGGCGCAAGCTCAGGCCACCACAGACCTGCGTGTGTTGTTGGTTGCTATTACACCACCACAGCCTAGCAATGCAATAATGCGGTAAGATTGTATTTTGACAGGTTTGCTCAAAACAAGATTTCCCAGTATGCCAGTACGTTTGCCAGTGTGGGTTACAAAATCAATTCAAGTAGATTATGTGAAGGTTACAGTGAAATGTAACAGTTACAGTGCAGTTACAGTTTTAAAGAAGTACTTTAGTCAACACGGGAATGCTATATAATGAGAGACATTTATTTTAGGATTTAGATTATTCTGTTTCTCTTTTTTTTTGCAATATTTGGTAGGTCCCCTTTCCGCAGGAAGGTGATCATTGAGCAAGTGTACTGCAACCTTCAATGCAGGTTGTTCCAAATGATTTTATAACTGGAGTATGATTCAATGTGTGAAACTGATAGGATGATTGAAAACACTCAACAAAACACAAAACTGCCAAAAATTCAGTTCCTACATTCATAAAGCTGTCGCCCAGCATTTCCAGCCTCCATGGAAAAGGGATAATTATTTGACAAGATGATGTTAATTGCACATACAGGATTTCATCCACAATGGAGGACAGCAGTATGCTTGCCAAATATTGTAACTAATGATTTCATTTTTTTTTTTACTTTAATTTGAAGTATTCTCCTGGAACGGGAAGTTGCAGAAAGACTGCTGGATTTGGCGTACCTGTGGGTAGCTGGACCAAATTCAAGTCAAGGAAACTTGGGTAAATATCTCATTTCCTTCAATTCAAGGCGATTCATGTTGTGAATGTTGACATGTTTAAAGGCATAATATGTTTCCTCTATTCCCTACATGAGAAAACCAGTAACGGGATACATTGCATATGTATTAAATTACAGCTCGCACCCGTTTGAGCCTGCCTGCCCACAGTACCAGAAACATCCTGGTCGTCTGTGTACCTGGGCAGACCTCACGCATGCGGACGCTCCGGGTATTTGATGGTGAGCTTTCAAGATTTAATAAGTTTTTTTTTTATATTTTGTTGTTTCTTTCAACAATTAATGTAACTTCTATATTTAAAAAGTTAGTTAAGTACCCAAAAGAAGTTACAATTTCAGTTTTCAAATAATGTGCTCATCAATATAATGCTCTGTTAACAACATGTTGTGCTGAAATACCTTTCTCTCATTATATGATTTAGAGAACAATCTGTCAATGCTGGCACTTTTTGATGCCATGGAACTGGCGGAAACAACTGTTCTGGGTGTTAGGCAACAAAGGTGAGATTATCCAATTTGTTGTAGCACTTGCCATCATATGCAAGCAAAATGTGCCTTAAAACACTCATTTTTACACAACCGGAAGTTTTGGTGACTGCCTGTCACCTTCCTCAGGGCTACTCTGACTGGGTCACATTGCACTGCATTGGTCTTACAGCTACATGTAGTGTAGAATCTGATGCACTGACCCAATCCCCCCTTCCAAACATACATATCAACATGCTAACATCCTTACATATCAACATGGATATAGACAATGACATCTGCATTTTGATTCTGAATCATTGAATACAAGTAAAATTAATCATGATTCTATACATGTATGTCAAGTATTATGTACTTGTAGATTTTATTTAATAGAGGTAATTGTTTCTTGACACTACAGTCTCAGCAATGCACATTGTCAGACAGGCTGCACCACAGTCATTTTGATAGAAGTAACATCATATGTGAAAACATTAATTAGCCATGTTGTCCAAAAATTTAGCATGGCGTAACCTTCAAACAATGCAGCCTCATTCCATTTCTTAGCCTGGTAGCAGTGCGTCAGGTGTTATCTTTCTCAAAAGGTGCTCCTGTTACATATGTACTTTCTTCCAGTGAAACATTTAATACTGAGTCATGTGGTTCGACTGGACGTGTTTTTATGTTGATCAGGTTTGCAATGTTTTGGCTTCTGTTAAATACATATATATATTCACTGCAGGGCAAACTATCAGCAGTGGAGAGCTGTACGTGCCAGGCAGGACGAGGAGTTTCAGGTAAATCAATTGTCTCTCCCTAAAATAAATAGTATTACAGTGACTAGGAGCTGAAACTCAACAGACATGTTTGGATTGACAATTTAAACCAGATATCACATGGAATATACTTTGCTTGAATGTAGTGCTACCTTTTGACTGTAATGTATCTTTTCCTTAACACATGTTAAAATACATATCCCGCCACGGATGCATTTTTCACCAACCCTGGGAGTGATTTCCTCAGCTGCCTTAACTAGATCATGTTTCACATTTTGGATCATTTTGAATTCATTTATTTGCATCATTTGCTCATAATGCATCAATTCAATCTTTTCTTTGACAGGCTGTACAGGCTGTCAGTGCAGAACCACAGGCTGGGCCTTCAAGGGACTCTGAGGTTGAAATGGATGAACCACAGAGCGAGATGGATGAGTACGCCGACTCAGACATGTCAGAGGAGGAGTCACACTCCCAGAATGCCTTCCTTCACACCAGGGCAGCATGGCAAAATTTCGGCCTACAACAGCTGGTAAGATTTTTTGTAATTCAAAACCAGACAGAATATTTTGTAGCAAATGCAAGTTGCGCTGACAGACAAATTTTACATGATTTTTACATGGTCACTCTCTAAAACTAGTAAAGGGAAACTTCCTGTGTAAGGGTTAAGAAAAATTATAACATTTATACCCAATTCATACCATACTTTTCAATACCAGTTTAAACCTGATAGATAATTAGCATAGAAAACGGTTTTTATTTAGCCTAGTATGATCACAAATCAACCACTTCTTTAAAGGTATTAATTAGATTTTCAAAAACCACCTTGCAATGATGTGTGGTAAGGTTTTTTTTAGTGTTTTGCCTGACAAAAAAACGAGTCTGAACACTAGGGGTTTCTTACTGGCTTTTACCATGATCATACTATTCATAGCTTTTGTGTACATGGGGTCAGCATCCAGACCAGATGCATAAGCCATGTTCATATTCCCAACAGGTTTGACCCCTAATTAGGGCCTTAACTTTTTGATCATGCAAAGCTTTGGAGTCGTTTCCAATGTTTCTCTTCGTTTTGCCATGGAATCAGCATACCTAAAACACCCGACTGACGAGATCAAGCTAGTTATTGTTGGATAGCAACTTGAGACCAGGATGAAGGGGGGAGGGTTGTTACCAAAACCAAAATGTTTACCTTGATATTTTAGTACTCAAAATAACTCAGCATTTATGTATTGTATTTGTATTTCCTCCATTTGCCACAGGACACAGCTTTGGACACTGAAAATGACTCGGTGGTACGCACTTTGTTTATATCTTTGGGTTTGTCCCGCTGTCCAGTCAGTACAGGGACTTCATTATTAGTGTATTTAAGGAGCTCTCTACTGCAGAAGTGGGTATTAGGATTCATCAGAGAATAAATTGTCATGCTGTTTATTTACCATAAGTTGAAGCCTGAATACATGGTTAACATTGTAGCAATAGAATCCGTAAAAAGCCTTTAATACCTTTTCGCAATCCCAGAATTTAATGCGCACTTTGTGTTGATGGGGAAGGTCAATCGTCGTTCAACACGACAACACAGTCGAACCACATGTCAAGGATGATGAATTAATATTATGTTGGTTAGGACTGTGTTTTTGAATGGACTGAAGGTTAGCCTGGTGTCCAGCCTTGTCCGCCGGCGGGGAGTGGATCTTGGGGAGCGGACTAAAGCTAACAAGGCTGGACACCAGGCTACTAAATGTATCTGCCATGCACAAATGCCATCATAACTGCCATGCCAACAAGTTTTGATCAATTTATTTGTGAGCCATTCTGTATTAATTTGTCCATATATAAAAGTAGTTTTATGGCACAAAAAAAAGACAGCTAACCGTAACTTGATCAAAATAATAACAGAAAATGATACCTGCTTCTAGACCGGAGAGCCCCTTTAAGATGACATGGAGTTAGAGTCTTATTTTATGAAAATTGAGTTAATTCAATTTGTATCAATGCAGATTCAGAACAAGCTAAAATTTATACCTGATTCCTTTTAGAACTCTTAAAGTATCTCTCAACCAGCAGTCCATATAAAGAGCTACATAACTACCCTGCATTATGAGTATTGAAGAAATCTAATGCTTCAGAATCTTTATTTTTACAGGTGACCTTTCCTCAGCATGGGAGGCACAACTCGATGAGGGACACATCAGCAGCCAGCACAGTTCCTCTCATCCAGGTATAGTCCTACATATGTATAATTGTTCTTGCGAAGGCTACCATGTCAGTACTAATATAGATATTGACATAGCTTTTATATTTCCATATATCGTACCCAAGACAAAAGTTGATTTTAAGAGGATGTGATTGCAATTGCAGGAATTTTCGAGGGTATCTCAGGGGGTCCCAGAACTCCATAACGAAAATACCTGAAGAGTTTTAATCATATGTGGCTGGTCATAGTTGCACATACTTTCTAACTATGTATGAGCAGATTTGGCCGACCCGCAGTCTTCTGACCTCTGCCTTGTTTTCTCGTGCAATGACTCTTTAGTGTTCCAACACCATTATTTTCTCTCTTTCAGGAAGACCCTGATGAGTGAAGAATTGTCTGTCCAGAACTACACTTCTGTGATTAATGGCAGCACATAGGATCCAGTAGTGGCAGCACCGAGGATAGTTTAGAGTTGCTTTTTGCACATGTTAAAACATTAAACAACATAAATATAACGTTCAGTTCTAAAGTTCAGAGTTAAAATGGGAGAGTTTGTGGGAGTTTCTTAAGTAAAGTCAATGTTGTACTCCTTCCCCTTCCAGTAATTGTCTATCTTTGACTTAAAAATATTAACAGTTTCAGCAGCTACAACTTCGGCCGGTAGACTGTTCCAAGAGTTCCAAGATGTTTCACTATTATTACTTGTATCTTAACACTGTATCTAAAACTCTGTGGCAATAAAGTGTTCACTTTCTATGCTTCTTGTATACCAGAATAAAGGTCACATCGTTTCATTTGAAAAGAATTTTGCCTTTTGTTCAAATCAAACAAGGAGGTCCAAATGAGCGAGACGCTGAGATACGGATATGCCACCATCTGTGAAGTGTGTTACAAGCTAGTGTTGTCATGATGACAGGCCATCCTTACCTTGGGAGCAGAACCAGAGAAAAAAATCCTGGGACCTATATAACCTCTTTTTGGCACTAACAACCCACTCCATAAACGTAATCTCCTAGCAGATCATTTGGTGGCAGCAAGACATTATCCATTGACCAGCAACAAAAGGACATTAAACAGTTACGCGGGGGATCCATTATAGCTTCTGGGCCAGTTGATACTTTTCTTCAAGCAGACGTTTGAATTTTTGCTTTTTTGTGTGTTTAAAGCTTTTTTTATCGGGGTTTCTTTTGTGCACTGTGGCCTTGTTTTGGGCCTTGAAAAGATTCCAGTACAAAAAAGAAACCCCGATAAACAAAGCCTAAAACACAAAAAATAAGCCAGAGTCCAAACCTCTGGAGAGTGAGTTTCATACATGGAGCATGGACATAATGGATGGGTTACTGGGTTGAAAACTTGTACCGGTATTAAATCAGAGTAACCTGACAAGGAATACATTTGACATGTCCAAAGAATGTAATTCACGCCTTTAACATACATTTGTTTGTATGTACACCGGTACCACTTTAAAATTGGGTAAAACACGGCTTTTGGGTTATTTTCGGACAAAAAAGTACATTTTTGGCTGCTGTGCCCTAATATTAAATCCGAATGACCTGAAATTTGGTATGGATACACATAGATTGGTGGGTACCAGGCAGTATCAAATTGGCCAGGAAGTAGAGTCAATTCCGCGTCACCGTGTGGGTTGTTATTGTCATTATTTAGAAATGTTTTGAATTCTTTGTAATTGTTTGTCTGAGAAATTTCATAATTTGGAAATAATTTGAACATCTTGTCAATATTCTAAATAATTCCTTGGTTTTCTAAAACGTTTGAAATATTCCTGATGTGGATTATGACATTTCAAATAGTTTCTAAATAATTCTAACAGCACTTTACCATTTTTTACCATTATTTCGAATTATTTCTAACATTTTGTAAATAGGTCAGTTGGATGGGAAGGAAGTAATTCACACATCCCTGTGAAGTACAGGGTAGACTGTCTGGGTGTCAGGCATTGATGCCTTACAACAAAAGAGCCACCAGTGTCCAGCAGTGAAATCTAAAAATATACAGAAGAATACAAAAGAGTAGGATTAGCACCTACTTTTATGGGGGCAATCACCCACATCTACCATTTGGTCATTTGTTTGAAATATTTCTAAATATTTCGAATAGTGAAAGAAACACATGGGTAGTTCAAATTTATTCTAAATAAAGAGATCTTTGTACAGTCACTTTTAAAATGTTTCAGAAATATATAAATGAATTCAAATATATTCAAATTTTCATTTTCAAATTTTTGAAAAATTTAGAACTTTTGTTACTTGGGTATTCTTTTCTTCTAAATAATTCAAACGTATTAGAAACATGGAGAAAAAACCCACTGGGTGACGCGGAATGGACTCTATCAGTTTGACGTCATTTGGTTGACTTAAAAAAAGACAGCTTTATCAAAACGCGACGCCTGAACCTCTGTTTATAGAGCATAATAAGATATCAAGGTGCCATGCCGGTTTCCTACGTCAGAGACCCATTAAATTTGTTTTCAAAGCTTCCTTTATATTCGCTCGTAAAAGGACCACCCCTATCTATCCCACCCGTACCCGTTGTCAGTCATTGGTAGGTGTCATTATTGTGAAGCAGGTGCAAGTTTGTGATAAACCGATTAAAGACCAAGAGGTGACCCACTTTTATGGGTCGCAAAGCGAATACGCATAGCCTATAACAAGCTTCGGGAGGCGGCGGGAAAAAGTAGAAATCGGCCAAATAGAGAGATAGCATGCCGAGGTAGTTGGTATGCTTGAGAGAACAGTTTCCAACCGCCTCCCGAAGCCTGGTAGAGGCTAAATACACACACAAAAACAACAGAGGGTGTAATGACCGTCATATTTTTAAATTGTGTTGTCTAAAATATTGTCTGTCACAGTGTCTGCATGGAGAAGCGACCAAAAAAGCTGGGAGATGTCTACACTTCAAGCAGAGGTTTGTGTTTTGTCGTGTTTTAGGCTTTTTATCGGGGTTTGTTTCTGCGTTGGGAATTCCATTAGAAAAAAATACACTCTGATGAACAGCCTGAAAACACGCCAAAAATAAGCCAAAACCCAAACCTCTGCTTGGAAAGTAGGACATTACATGACGCACGGCGTTTATCCCCGAGTACAATGTGTACATTGTGGACAGATCTTGTGCCCGTTACTCCTCGTGAATCATTGTAGCCTGCCCAAGGACCTACCCTTTCTCATAATCCTTTTCTGACTTGTATAACACTAACGGAGTTTTTGAACCTAAGAATGTTTTCAACCCAGTAACCCGTCCATTATGTCCATGCTCAATCATCCACGGTATGAAAATTACTCTCCAGAGGTTTGGATTTTGGATTATTTATTGTGTTTTAGGCTTTTTTATCTGGGTTTCTCTTTTGTACTGGAATCTTTTTTAAGGCCCAAAACAAGGCCACAGTGCATTAGAGAAACGATAAAAAAAAATAAGCCAGAACCCAAACGTCTGCTTGAAGAAAAGTATCAACTGGCCCAGAAGCAACAAGAGTTCCACGATCTCATACCTTCGCCAACTGATATTAACCCTTCCGGTTAACGAATTATACAATCTTAATAATTGATTTTGCAAAAAAGAGCCTCATTTGCATGTATTATATCAGTTGATCATATTCTCCACCCAATGACAGCCTTATCTTAAAAATAAAGGTTATTGTAGCACTTCCTCATAAATTATGCAAATTGAATAAATTGAAGTTGAATAAATTATGTTTATTGGGTTCACCTTCACTTAACTTCCAAATGTGGCAAGTATGAAATTCCCATTAGTTACAACAATGAAATTATAACAATTTCCCATTAATTATGCAAATTAGGTCTTCAATTACATAATCTATATCTTTATGTGTTTTCTCGTCCTCAATTACATGTCACATGTGTTTCATAGTCCTATCATCGAACGAAGCAGATTTATAGAATTTCCTCATTAATTATGCAAATTAGCTCCTGATTTGCATATATGTCAGCTGATTATGTCAAGCATCACTTCAGCTACCTACACACTAAAAATCACAACAACCCGTCGACCGGTTCTTGAGTTATCCTCCTTCGAAGATTTTTCCACTAACGCTCCTACAGTTCCAGAACAAGCTGCTAGGGGGTCCAAACGCATGTCAGTTCTTCCCTAGTCCAAGAGCTATCTACCACCCGAAATTTGTGACCCTAGCATGTCCAGATCGCGAGATATCAAAACCGGAAGTTCTGCTGCAGTACCAACAAAAGCCGCCAGGGGGGCCAAAATCTAATCATTTCTAGGTCTCATAAAGACCTACCAACCTACCAACTTTCACGACAATCCATCCAAAGGTTCTCGAGATATATCTTGCTAAACCACACACACATACACACACACACACATACACACACACATAGACAAACGCTACTGAAAACATAACCTCCTTGGCGAAGGTAATAATGGATCCCCCGCGTAACTGTATAATATTAATGTCCTTTTGTTGCTGGTCAATGGATAATGTCTTGCTGCCACCAAATGATCTGCTAGGAGATTACGTTTATGGAGTGGGTTGTTAGTGCCAAAAAGAGGTTATATAGGTCCCAGGATTTTTTTTCTCTGGTTCTGCTCCCAAGGTAAGGATGGCCTGTCATCATGACAACACTAGCTTGTAACACACTTCACAGATGGTGGCATATCCGTACTCTCCAAGCAGAGGTTTGGGTTGTTGGGGTATTTCTATATATATAGCGTGTTTTTAGGCTTTTTTATCTGGGTTTCTCTTTTGCACTGATCAATTTATCCCCCACAGTGGGAAAAATAATTCAGTGCAAAAAAGAAAACCCGACAAAAAAGCATAAAAACACGCTGAAATACCCCCAACAACCCAAACCTCTGCTCGGAGAGTAGCATATTCGTATCTCAGCGTCTCGCTCAAGTATGAATGCGCCGTATTGCGCAACTGGCTTTCCGGATGAGTCGTCTGCAGTTCAGGTCACGTCCGTAGAAGGTGATTTCCAAGTGTACGTTACGAGCAGATACGCCGACAGGATATTTTGGTTTCTAGATATTTTGCAGTTTGTACCTTCTTCTCAAACATGTTCGATTTTCGTATTTGTAAAGTGCACCCTGCTATAATTTTTACGCGTCTATATAAATAAAGTGAGTCATCTTGGGGTCCTTTACTATACATAGAAATCCCCGGGCATAGGGCGAAAACTGTGTTCTGCTACCCTTATTTGGACCTCCTTGTTTGAACAAAAGGCAAAATTCTTTTCAAATGAAACGATGTGACCTTTATTCTGGTATACAAGAAGCATAGAAAGTGAACACTTTATTGCCACAGAGTTTTAGATACAGTGTTAAGATACAAGTAATAATAGTGAAACATCTTGGAACTCTTGGAACAGTCTACCGGCCGAAGTTGTAGCTGCTGAA